ACAGAGCGAGAGGGAAAGGCCGGAGGACAGACAGACACGCGGCATGCGAGAGTGCGGTAAACGTTCGAGTATTCACGCCCATCCTTGCTGGATCGTAACGGGGAGCAGGGGGCCTCATGCCAGCGGCTCCGTGTGCCCGTCCATGCCACGCACCCCACCCCAGGAGGCAGCGAATTAAGCGATGCCGGGGGAGGGGGGGGGAGATAAAGAGGCTGGGACAGCAAATAGAGCCCAGTACCCCCCCCCCCCCGTTCTGGCTGGGGGGGATGTCAGGATTGGGTCCCTGCAGAAGCAAAATGCGGGAGAGGAAAGAGGCAGAGCGGGAGAAAAGGGGTGCAAAGATGGGGTGGACGTGGGCAATGAGGCAGGACTCTCCACAGCTGTCCACTCGGTGGAGCAAAAAGATGCCCCCCCCCCCGGCTTGGGGCAGCGGGGGGCCTCAGGCTGCATGGGGTGACCCCGGCTCACAAAAGCGGCTCAGAGGGACGCTGGTTTGCGAGGTTCGAGGCTCAGGACTCCTGGGTTCTACTCCCAGCTTGGCCTGGCTGCTGGGGCACATTGCCTCAGTTTCCCCCTCCGTCTATTCACCCCATGAGCTCTTCGGGGCAGGGCCTGTGTGCACACAGCACCCCGTGTGACAGGGCCCCCCGAGCTGGGTCAGGATTGGGGGGGTGTCTACAGTGTCCAGTGTGACAGAGGTCCCCGATCTCGGGGGAGGGTCTCTGCAGCTGCAGCCCCCAAGACTGGAATGTAGGGGAGGGCGGCTAAGGGTCTCCTCCCATGAGCCCCCCATCGCTACGGTGTCAGAGTGGGGGGGATCTCTAGCCCCCTGGCAGTGAGCAGAAAGCAAAGTCAAGGATGGGATGGGGGTGGTCAGGGCGGGGGGGGAGGGGATGAGAGGTGTGATTGACAGACAGGCCCCCCCGCAAACACTGGAAAAGCACCAGACTCCTGGCGACCAGACAAGTGGCTCCATCCCGGCTCCTCGTGGTGGCTGGAAAGGGGAGGAAAAACGGGGGTTGAGGTGGAAGGATAGTGGGGGGGCAGGGATGGGGGGAGCGTCGGGGGTTCATTTCAGGCTGCGGCTGGTGATGGTTTTGAAAGGGGGGGCATCCCAGAGGAGGAGGGGCAGCTCGCTGCCAAGCGGGGCCTGGGAACAGGCAAACGCAGGGGTGTGTATTTGCGTGGGGTTGGGGGGGGTTGCACACCGTAAGCTGGCAGCTTCCCCCCCCCCCCCCAGATATGGAGTCTCCTGGTCTGGGAAGTGGAGCCAATGGCCCTGCCCTTGTCTGTTCAGAGGGTGAGCTCTCGAGGGCGGGAGCCGTGCAGCGCCCTGAGCACGAGGGGTCGGTGCCGCTCCTGGTGCGACAGGGACCCCGTTATGCTAGGCGCTGCACGTGCGCCTGGGAGAACTCCGGGTCGGAACCCCACGACCTTGGCCACCCTCAGTCCCCACCCAGCTTGACCCCACTGTGTAATTTAGGAAGGTCCGGATCTGAAATTTACCTTGCTTTCAGCCTAGCCCTGCATGGCCTGGGACGGGGGAAATTACAGGCAGGTTCCCGCCCCGATCCCCACCCCCCTCTTATATTCTGGAGGGGCCAGGGTGGGGGAAAGGTTCAGATTTGGTTTCCAATCGCTCCTGAAATGACCCTGCCAGGCCGCCCGGCTGCTGATCGGTTCCTAAAAGAAATACAGGCTTTGTCACGACCCCGCTGGCCGCCGACGGGGGGGTGGGGGTGCCGGTAGGAGGGATGCGCCAGGCAGGGGCGGGGGGGGGGGGCGCGGCGAACGAGACACAGAGCTGTGTGGAGAGAAAAAAGCAGCTAGACACAGATCAGAAAAAGTCGACAGCAAAAAGTGGGCCGGGCTCATACTCGAAGGCTTACCCTGCGGGGAACGGGGGCGCCAGAAGCAGAAGGACGACACCGAACCACACGAGAAGAAGGCACCGAGAGTCCGTCCCTACCCAGCCGGAGCAAACCCCACAGCCCCCTTTACTTGGCCTGGAGGTATTTTTGCCACCCTGGACGCCGGGGTTCCACCCCGAGGGAAGGGAGCGACAGGCCCTGCTTAACGCGCCGGCCTGGGTTTGTCACCATGCGCTTCTTAGAGGAGGAGAAAGGAAGTTTATCGGGGGAGGGAGCGCCCCAGATTTTGAGGGAGGCTGGGGGAGAGGGGGGCTGAGTGGCCTACGCAGGCCCATCTAGCCTGGTATCCCGCCTGCCCCCGTCTCAGAGGAGAGGAATAGAGACCACCCCCGTCTGAGTGTGCACCCTGACTAACCTAGCCCCCCGGGAAACAGAAATTCCTGATCTGGTTTCTTTAACCCACCCATGCCCCAGTAGCCCATGGATAAGCTTGGCTCAGGTGAAGGGAGTCACTCCAGATTCACACCAGATCAGAATCTGATTCCTCTTCATTCATGGGTGTGTTCAGCGGTAGAATCTGGCCTGTTTGGGGGTCCCCAAGGGGCCAGGGCAGCACTCCCAAATGGCCACGCACAGAAACACGGAGAAAAGGACACGGACCCAAACACCGACTGTGAATGGGGCCAGATCCCCAGCTGGACGGGGGCGCAGACTGGCGTCACCCGCTCCATTTCAGCTGGGGAAGCCACCCCAGAAGGACAGAAGAGGGAGCCAATAAAGGGGCGTGGGGCAGGGCGGGGATCTTGAATCAACCGGCTAAAGGCAAAAGAGAGAAAGCGACCGTATGGCTTTAGGAAATGGAAATCCGGCTCGCCTGAGGTCAGACAGAGAGCAGAGAGAGAACTGAAAAAAATAGCGAGGAGACCAACAGTGAGCATGGGGGGGCCGGGGCGGCGGGCGGAGGGGGGGCCATAGGAGGCGGGGAGGAGGGGGAAATGTTAAATCTGTCTTTTTTTGTTGTTCAAAAGCACACAAGCAGTAAGAGCAAAACGGTCACTCACTCCCGATGGTGGCAGAAGTGGGATTGCCAGCGGAGAGAATTACGTGAGTAGGGGTAGAAAGATTGGTTACTTCGTGCAGCTGGCTGAGGACCGAGGAGCGGCGCCGCACGGCCCCCTGAAAGGAGCCGCTTCTCTTGAAGGTGCTAACTACTTCCATCTACGAGAGAGAAAATGAGATACACAGAGACGTCGTCCGCGGTTGGCACTGAGCATCGGGGGGACAGGGGAGGCGGCAGCTGCAGAGATCGGCGGGAGATGGGGGGGGCTTTAAAAAAAAAGCCCACGTCGACTGCTGGGGTCGGGGGGAATCTCGGCTTGGGGTTAAAACAACAAACCCGTCTCGAATCAGCTCGTGGAGGTTGAGAAACGCGTGGGAACGGGGCGCCCACCAGTGGCTTGGGAAGAGGCTGCAGAAGAAGCAGCCCCGTTTTCAAGCCACACTTATGATTTTTGGGGGGTGGGTGTTCCCCCTCCCCCAAGCTAAGGCTGGAGCCGAGGAGGCTGGGTAAATGGGGAGGGCGATGGGGCGGGTGTGGGTGGAAATCGGCCTCGCTCCATTGACGGCGTCTGGCTTGTGTGGAGCATCCTGCTGGCTAAGGGACCGTGAGACCATCTGTCTGACCCGGCCATGGAGCAGGCTTGGTAGAGAAACGTCCCGTCATGATTCACACTGCACCCGTGGAGGAGAATCCACCACGACCCCGGTGGAAACTGTCCCGGGAGCTAATTCCCCTTGGCGTTAAACATCGGCCCCCTCGTGCCAGCCTGAATGAGTCTGGTTCGACCTGCGGCTGCTGGCTCGCGGGGTGCCCCGTTTCTGCTCCCCGGGGAGGGCTGGGATCCACTCCCCCTCAGCCTCAGGGCCGGGCGCCTGCCCGTGGTGTGGGGGGCGCCGTGTGGCTGCTGGCATAGGGTCAGAAAGCGTTGCCGGCTGGCAGAGGAGAGCTGCATGGGGGGGGAGGGCATCCAGATTTCTCCCTGTTTTATCCACTTCTGGTGGCTAGAACAGGGGGCGCTGGGAGCCAGGACTCCTGGGTTCTCTCCCGGCTCAGGGAGGGGAGTGGGGCCTCGCAGTCAGAGCAGGGGGGCTGGGTGGGTGCAGGGATGCACAGACGAGCGGCTCTCTGTCCAAGCACCGTAAGCCGGGCTCTGTCCCTCACGTTAACAAAGGGAAGGAAACAGGTTACAAGTCGCCACGTCCCTTTATGGCACCTCCGAGAGATGCCGGCTGCAATCAGAAGGCAGGTTAGTAACCCAGGTCCCCTGAAGAGGGGCCTCTACGCGGCGTCCTGCCTCGCTGCTTCAGGACGCCCTCGTCCAGCCCTTTGGAGAAACAGCTTCTGACCCTGGGATTGTCGGAGGTTGGTTCAGACCCTACACCGGCCGAGCTCCCACCCCGGACCCCGACACCCAGAGATGGGCCCACAATGGGAGCTGGGGATTTCCCTCGCCGCAGAAAAATCCCATTCAAGTTTTTCCCCCGTTTTCCACAACATTTTCCTAGCAAAATTTCAACTTCTATTTTTTAAAAAGAGGGGGATTGGCAGAAAAATTAAAATGTTCAGCCCCTGTTTCAAAAAACGTTCAGTTTGATGACTGAAAACAGGATCATTTTGGCCATAAACGGCCAAAAGTGGAGTATTTTTTGGCTGAAACCCCAATATTTTGGGCTGAAAATTACCCCAAACTGTGTATTTTTTGGCCAAAAACTATATTTTGGATGAAAAAAAAACAATTATTTTCATCTCCTCCCCTCAGAGAGAGAATTTTTGGTTGAAAACTTCTGAAAACTGGATATTTTTGACCAAAAATGGCCAAAACCAACGTTTTTGACCGAAAACTGCATTTTTGGGTCTGAAAACCAATTATTGTCATCCCAAAATTTGCCCGAACCAGAACGTGTCTGACCAAACCCACATATTTGTGGTCCCTAAATGGTGTAACCCTGGCTGAAAACTGCCTTGTTACACTCCAGCACTGAGTATTTTGGGCCCAAAATCTGAACATGTTTCAGGCCAAAACTATTCTTTTCCCCAGCAACCAAACAATTTGAATTTTTCCAGCTGAAAACCTTAGGGGTCCCCCTCCCAAACGAAATCCTTGTTTTGTAGAAAACGCTGGAGGAATTCCTCAGCTTTCTCCAATCACATCCTGCCTGGGGAATTCCTCCCAGCACCCAAACAAGGATGCCCAGGGATGGCCCCAGGGGGAATTGGGCTGTCGCCCCCTTAAGAACTGACACCTTATAGCCAGCCGCAGTCAGTCCGGCTCCCTCTCCCGCGTCCTGTGGGGGACGATGGAGACGTTTCCCAAAATAACCTTAACTCTGCCCACTCCCCGTCCTGAAGTGCGCCCCCACACCCTGGGGTCAGAGGTGCACGATGGAGCGCAATGGGCTCAGGAGGGGGCCATGCAGAGGGAAGAGTTAAGGTTGGGGGCAGGGGAAGTCACATCTCCCATCTGGGGCTCATTTGGCTACAGAGCCAGGGCTGAAATCCATCCCCTAGGGTATAAAGTCCATGCAGAGCCCGGCTAGGGGACACTATAGGACTACACATAAATGATGGTTGGAGAAAAACTCTCTGGGCAGAGGGAGGGTCAAATGACAGCAAAAACCCCGGGGTCCTGGCTCCTCACCAGCCATGCCTGAGTTTGCAGAGAGCCTGACCCAATCACTCTGAGAAGGGGGGAGCTGCCCCATTCATCTTACTAGGGTGCAAACACCGATGCACAGGGTCTGCAAGTTAGAGGGGCCAGGTTACGAACTGGGTGACAAGAAACACCCCATTCTGGTGTCCTGAGTGGCTTAGGAGATGTCTTCCCACCTGCCAATGGATAATACCATGGGTGCCCATCTAGCCCGGTTTCCTGCCTGCCACCCCAGATCAGACTCAGGACATCTGGGTCTCCTATTGGTTTGAGCGGGAATTGAAGGTGGAAACAACAGGGCCATGAGCCAAGTGGCCACCGGATCCCCTGCTCGGGGTTAGGAGATTCCTGGCCATCTCTCCTCCCGTCATCTCTAGGCACAAAAGCAAAAAGGGGAGTGGGGAAGGGGAAGGTGGGAAAGGGAAGGGGGTGAGCTTGTTGACATGTTGGTGGGGGAAGTGGGATCCCACATTCCCCATTCCAGGCATGAGCGTGAAGGGGCGCGGAGGGGAGATCAGAAAGGGAGGCGGATTAATGCATTGGTGGGGGCAGTGGGATACTCCGGGCCCTACCTGGGTCTGGATGCGGTTGAGGCCACGGAACCAGAGGATCTGGCCTCGGCGCAGCTCCCGCTCGGCATGGTCTATCTCCTCCTCATCCTCCGCCATCTCCTCGTCTGTGATCTCGTCCTTGCCGGGACCGTGCCCCGCCTCCTTCAGGCATTTCAGGTGGCTGGTGGGGATGGTGGCGATTAGCTGCAGGGGAGTCAGAGAAGGGGTTAAACCCATCCCCAGGCACACACAGGACCCTGACCCCCCCACCAATCACCACCCTGGAGCTGGGGAGAGAACCCAGGAGTCCTCGCTCGCAGCCGCCCCCGGCTCTGTCCATCCAACTCTGGCCGACGTCTACGACTCCAAACATGGTGAGCGCCCTGCGTCTCAGCTCCACTGCTGGGGAGTCACTGGATGTATGAACCCGGACGCCTGGGTTCCCTCGCCAGCTCTGGGAGGGGAGTGGGGGCTGGTGGGTGAGAGCAGGGGGGCTGGGAGCCAGGACTCCTGGGTTCTCTCCCGGCTGTGGGAGGGGAGGGGAGCAGGGCACTAGGGAGGCAGGTCGGGCTGCTCACCTGTCCCCACACGAGCTCGCCGACGCCCACGAAGAGGCACCAGAGCCACTGCTCGGCGTTGAGGGGCGAGCAGCTGAACGGCTTCCCCCCGAACTGCACGATGACGATCTGCAGGGAAAGGAGACGGGGG